AATACTTATATGGGCCGAAAAAGAGATCCAATCCAGATTATTCTAAAACACTTCCAGAGAGGGGAAAAGACTTGTCAGTTCCAAAGAGCTGCGTTATAAATATTAAATTTATTACCTCAGGGGATAATTTATTAAGAATCACAGGAAACCTCAATATTTATAAAATGATCCCTACTGATTTATTTATTTGAAGTGGTATGATTTCAACAGATCTCAGTTTTCAAATGCAACTTGAAACTAATAATATATATGCATATTTAAAAGATGTGTAATCTTCTTTTCTGAAAGCTGAATAAAGGCTTGAATTCACTGCCCAGTTGCAGAAGAAATTATCTCTTTCATTCTTGCTAAAATGTCATTCGTGATTTCAAATTTTAAAAAATCAAACTATAATATATGTTAATTAAATTGGTTCATTCTAATTGATCCAATATATGCCATTTATCTTGCAGTAAAAACAAACCACTTACACTTTTAATTAAATAAGCACACAACTTAATTTACCCTCTTGCATATGCACATTCTCAGTAACTCTACTCTTATTTCAGTTCTGTGCCAGCAACCCCAACCCTCCCCATACTGGAAAACAAAACAAACAAACCAAAAAAAAACACCCAATACTTAAAACATTTACAGAAAGGCCATGTTAGTTAAGGAGTTATAGTCAACCCACTACTAGAACATCAATAATTAGCACAATCTGTAAAAGACTACATATTTTAATTACTGTTACTGGCCACCAGCATTAAAGGAGAATAGTCCAAAATATATGCTAGTCAACCAAGTTAAGAAAGTAGCAAGTAGAAAAATAGACACAACACACAAAATCCGACATTAGGTTCAAATGTTCAGAATCAGAGTTAGCCTCATGATTATTTAGCCAAGATTATTTTTAAGGATTGGTATAATCTATGTATTTAGTTCATTCAGTTCCTAAGACTAATTCAACTCTATTGGCTTCTCACTTAATCACTAGTTTGTACAACGCCGTAATAGTACTGAAACGTTTTACTACTCCCTGCAAGATACATCTTTATAGGTTGTCAATTTTCCCCTTTCATGCCATTAAGAACTAAATCAACATTAATAAGAACAGTGAGAATTCTGGGGTAAAGTGAAACTTGGAAGAGGATTTAAATAATTCCAATAAGCTATTCATCATGCTTCTTGCTGTAATAGGTAAGTAATACTCCATGATTCTGCACTAAAAATACTTAGGTTTCTTACTGTTATTCTGGGTCATGTGTATATTCCTTAAATTTATATGACATCTACAAAGAAAACAATATTTTGCCTAACAGAAGCTTTTGCAGTAGTAAGGCCGATAACAAAGAATCAGTTTCCAAGAAAAGTTGGCTTGATTTCAGGGACTTCATATCCTTTTCCACACCTGGGTTTTGGATTTGCTGAAAGCAAATCAATCTTTTCTTCCCTTTAATTTAACCCACCCCAAGTGCATTTATAACCACAGATCTTTAATAGTATTAGTGAGAATTGCTAGAATCTGCTCAATAAACTGTTGAAAAATCTGAATTCTCAGTGTAAAAAAAAATCATTAAAATAAAGTAAGCCTGTTTAAATATAAGGAAACTCACAATTTTAAAGTGTGACAAATAGCTAATTTAGGACTCAAAAAGGTTGAAAAGACAGACTATCACAGAATTACTGTTGCATTCTTTCATATTTTTTACAAGCTGTTTGGTCATAACGGAAAAGAGAAAAGATTTTTCTTCTTAAGACTACTTGCAACTCTCTCCATTCTGACCTTTTTATACTGTCACTGCTTTCTCCTCAACTAGGAGGATAATGTAAGTGGAAGGATTTGTACAGAGTTTTTAAAAAACAAAATCAAAATGAAAACCCTCAATAACCAACTGGCTTAAATTAAAATCTAGAGCACCTAAAGGACACAAGTCACGCATTGTGAGGCAGCAGACCACAAAGCCAGAATGAACAAACACTTGAACACCTCTTGGTTTATCACCATTAACTTGCAATGACCATATGGTCATTGAATGGTTTATTTGAAATTCAAACTGCATTTTAGTGCTATTTTCTAACTCAGTATTTTTTAAAAATGTACTTTGTTCTAATTAAAAGTTGAAATCATAGTGCCTTTTTCAATCCTATTTCATTTAATAGAAATTTCCCTCTGGGTGAAAAATAGTGCAAAGTTTTCTTTTAAAAATGCAAGGTTTTCAAAAATTAAAAAAAAAAAAAAATATATATATATAAAATACACTAAAAAAATGACCAGGAACTTTTGTGTATTGAACATTTTTTCCTTTCCTTCAATTATATTAGTCAGGATTTATTCTTGGACCTATTAATACTGAAAAGAAATTCCTGAAACTGGTGAGATAGATTAATTTACAATTTAGCACATATGGTATCATTAAGCTTTCACATTAATAAAAAACAAATACTAGCATTATAAAATAAAACTACAAAATTGTTTCATAATTATATTTTTATCTTGATAAAATCAAACTAAATTTCCAATCATGCAATAAGAAAAAATGTACATACTTAAGTGTCACTGTGGATTGAATAGCTGTAGATAAGAACACCTTGTCCTTCACCTGAAACTACTCCCTCCATCACAGGTGTTCCACAAGTTGAAGCAGAAAAGTCACAGAACTAGGCCCAGAGAGGTCCCACATCCTTTATCTAAGTTGTACAGAATAAAACAGCCTATGTGTACCTGTCTACTCACAGAGAAGCAAGTGACATAAGTAGCAACTGCATTTATTTGTTCCGGGCAAACTAGCATTTAAAAATATTATTTTAAATTTACTTAAAGGGAAAAAAAGGAAAAAGGAGAAGAAACCAAATTCTTGACAAGAAATACATAAGAATATCTGTCTTGGCAAAAATATTTCTGGAACATTTTAAAAATGACATTTAGAAAATGGTATAAAAATGATTTACTGTTTTTAAGTCCTTGAAGCTTAAGATATATTTCATAATCTAAATAGCAGGCCACGGAGAACAGTTTCAGCCAACTGTGGCACACAATGGTACATTTACAGAATTTTAAATATTTCTTTTAATAATTGATGTAGTCATTTTGAATCATTCTGCATAGGATATCAGGTGTGAGCAGATTGCATTAACGCTGCTTAAACATTTCAACTTGTCAGTATGGCCAACTCGATTTCGGAAATATTTGCAGTATTTTCCCATCGAAACAGTAATAAAGGCAAAATAAATATATGCCACTACTTTATAATCACCGAACATTAATGAATATTTTATGTCTTTTTAAATCTCCCTGTTTAATTTAAAAGGGTGAAATTAAGTCTCCTCCCTGCAATATGCCAATTATCTGTAAATCAAACAATAACTTGGCCATTATGCTCCTTTTTGTTAATATAAGAGAAGCTAATTTGAAAACACTGAATGGCATTTTTAGGCTATCTGCTGAATAGTCCTTTCTGCCCTCTTGTGGGAGAAAGCTGAAACACACTCAAATAACAGAAACTGGGGGTGGGGGGTTGAGAGGGTGGCAGCAAAATTATGGCTAGAAAATTCAACCCCAAAGGGAAAAAAAGCAAACTATATTTATTCATCACGCATTATACTATTCTTCAATTTTCAAGTCAGCAATAAAATGAATTTACCTCTGATCTTTCTTTTGTTGGTTAAACTGAAGTTATTTTAAATCTAAATTTCCTTGTTTCATTATATTCACATACACAATTTAGATTTTACTATCCTGTAAAATTTCAGATGCTCGGAGGTGGAGCCACAGCAAAACATTATTTCTACCAGAAAAACACAAATGATTCTTTAAGGAATTAAGTTTCTTAATTTAGAGAATAAAATACTCATTATGGAAGTTGAAAATGAAATTACAATTTATACATATTTAAAATCCTGAAAAAAATCAAATAACGCAAACCTATGATTCAGTTTAGGAATCAGATCAGAAAAAAATTTTAAAGACTTTAGTTTCTAGTCAATAAACTATTCAAGTAATCAATAAAGAAAATAAACCAAAAGCAATGAGTTATTCATGTCAAATTCAGAAGCTGAAATTCATTAACACAATATAAAAAAGGAAACCATTAATAGTCTACAGAAACAGTTCATATATTTCTGAAAGAAAACACTAGGGTGAAAACTTATTCTTTCACAATGACATTAAGTGATTATTTTAAGCAATGTAGTCTAAGAAAAAAATTATAAAATAATCCAAGATTAAGCATGATTAATTCTCTTCAGAAAAAATTAGTAGACAAATGACTGTTGCTTTCATAATTTATAAAGTGTAATACAACATAGTCATCATTTCAATGTTTCTAAACATAAGTCCTGTCATAGCCTTAAATATTCCCCCCACCCTCCATGGAGATAAATTATTAGCTTTTAGGTGGGTGGGGCCCAAGGCATATCAAGAAGGTACCTCTTCTCTCTTGGGGGAGGTTCTCTTTTGAAACAGTGGCCCTGGTTGGTCGTGATGAAGAAAATATTGACACTATAAATAGACCCTTCTCATATTCTAAGCTAAAAGATAGTCTCCAACAGCATCTTAGGAATACTGCCCAAGGGCAGGATTGAGCGGCTTAAGAAAAGTCCCCTCAAATTCCTTTTAGAAACAGGCAGAGTACACAGTATAAATAATTATTTGAGAGCAACCTTTCAAATAAAATATAAGCATCCTCCAAAATGAATGTTGTCAACAATTTCCTAAGTAGTATTTCTAATAATGACTATAAAACCATGAAATATATTACGTAATAATCAGTTATTTTTAAGAAGCGTTTCAAGTTGACTAGTTTAAAAATTATCAAGAGTTCCCATTTACATCTTTCTTTCTAGGTCAAGTCATTTAGTGTATCTACAGTAATCATTGATGCTCCAGTTAATTAAAATTTAAGAACCCAATAATGAAACATAAAGAGAATTTCCAACCAGAACAGATAAGCCCTCTTTAACAGGGTCAACATTAGCTATAATGAGCTACCTTTATTTCTTAGCTGTGAGACATAACTCACCTCTTGAATAGTACTGCTTCCTGAGAAGTTCAGGTTGTACTCCCGCTGGACTTCTCGGTGGGTGATGATCAGCATGAAGTTTTGATTTAATGACTCCTGCAGGGCACTGAAAGGGTTGAAAGAAAAACAAGGAACTTAGAGATGAACAAGTTCTAGCTTGCTTTACAGCTAGCTGCAAAAACCCCAGGAGTACCCTAACCTCCACACAGGCATGTCCGGGCCCAATGTTATCATATTTTCAGCTCCTAAAGGCAAGAGAACACACTGAGAACAACCAAGGGGAGCTAACCTGTTAACTCTTTCTCTACCAAGGTGTTTTTAAATTTCAAGTCTAAATGCCTTGTATACTTAAGAATTTTCTACAAGTCATATATGCTAATTCATAATATTTGCATATGTATCTCCTCCAACAAAACTGTCAATTATATCAACTCCAAATATGCTACTAAAATGTATATTCAAAGACTCTGCTTCAATTCCAAGTGAAATAGCTGTTCTAGAATAACAGAAGTATGAAGCTATTGTTTATATTCATGAATGTTGTATAATAGAATATGATTTCAGTCAAAATTCAGAAAATATTGAAATCTACAGAACTTTACTTGCTATGTAAAAATTCATTCAAAATAATTGTGCTTTCACTTAGGACTCAGTAATACACAGAACTTAGAAACTGGAGAAATCATAGCAACATTTTGTAAAGTCCATAACAAAGTTCCAAAATTTAGAAATGTATCAGAACCATGAAGAGTATATGAAATTAGTGACAAAAAATAAGAAACATAAGTCATGGTTCTATTTTTTTCTCCTCCTGAAACTGTCAATTATATCAAATTCCAAATATGCTACTAAAATGTATACACAAAGATTCTGGTTTAATTACAAGTGAAATAGCTGTTATGGAATAATAGAAGTATTAAAGTAATATTAAATGAGTATTAAATATTAGAAACATTATTTTCATCACTATTGAAAATAAAGACCTATCACTAGTATGCCTGAATAATTTCTACTGCCTGTCTCAAGTGTAATTTTGCCATGCCTATGGTACCAGGAAAATATTTTGGGTGTGCTCCATGGTTTTAGCCTTCAACTTTCCTCCTTTGCTCATCTGTAACTATGTGATGAATACACAGACAACATAAAGATTAGAATTAGACAGATAGGCCGGGTGCGGTGGCTCACGCCTGTTCTCCCAGCACTTTGGGAGGCTGAGGCCGGCGGATCATGAGGTCAGGAGATGGAGACCATCCTGGCTAACAAGGTGAAACCCCATCTCTACTAAAACTGCAAAAAATTAGCCGGGCATGGTGGCAGGCGCCTGTAGTCCCAGCTGAGGCAGGAGAATGGCGTGAACCCGGGAGGCGGAGCTTGCAGTGAGCTGAGATTGTGCCACTGCACTCCAGCCTGGGTGACAGAGCAAGACTCTA